GCGCCGAGTGCCGCGTGGACGCAGTCCCCAGCTACGACATCACTTTCGCTCCCCCCCTTACAGACCCCAGTCCACTGTCTGAGCCGTTCAGTCGCCTGATGATGGGACTAGGCACAAGTGTGGACGCTCCATCTGCTCGGGCTTCACACGAGATGGCGTTGTACAACGTACCAGGGCTTCACAGAAGGGAGTTTAGCAGCGTGCACATACCAGGCTCACCTACAGTGCGTGACAGATCTCATGAAATGTTGTCCGAAATTCTGGAATGCGTTTCCAATAAGGAAGGATTACTTAAGTGGTGTTGTTATATTGATTATCATACAGCATAACCCTATAACATTTCGGACTCAGCAGGATGTCCGCTTTTGAGTGCACTTATTTCTGACCTCCTGCAGAAATCTCACTTGGTAAAAAAATGACTACTTGTGTAGCATGTATTTTGCCTATTGATTTTCGATGGTCCTATAAATTCAACTATATTTTATAGAAAACATGCACAAAAATATGCTTTATTTTGCTCATTTTATAGAAAATCACATTGTCTTTATATTTTATGCCCGAAGAAAGTGTATATTAAGGTTTTACAAAGTTTCCTAATTCCCGAATAATTTTCAGTCTGATATGCCATTGCATCAGCGTTTAGCAATTTTGGTCTATAAGGTGCATGTCTTCCACGTAAGGAAAATCATGTATGTCTCTATGCCTTTAAAAAGATACTGCATTCAGTCCATGAAATTTTGCAATGGATCCGACGGCGTTGTACATTTCATGAGGAGCATTAGTAAACGGACATGTGCGGTCTTGCATGCATTGACACCGCACGGTATTAAAAATCTTATAATTAGAAACTTTTGTAAAACCTAAATATTCACTTTCTTCGGGCATAAAATATGAAGTAAGTGTGATTTCCCATCAAATGAGCAAAAGAAAGCATATTTTGTGCATGTTCTCTATAAAGTACAGGTGAATTTATAAGACCATCGAAAATCAATAGAAAAAATACATGCTACACAAGTAGTCATTTTTTTACCGAGTGGGATTTCTGCAGGAGGTCAGAAATAAGTGCACTCAAAAGCCGACACCCTGCCGAGTCCGAAATATTATAGGGTTATGCTGCATGATAGTCAGTATAACAACCCCACCTAAGTAATCCTTCCTAATTAGAAACGCATTCCAGAATTTCGGACAACATTTCATGAGATCGGTCACCCACTGTAGTTTCATTGTTGCACTTTTGAACAGTTGTTTTCAGCCTGCCATTTAACAGCACTTTAAACTTCAGTCTTCCACAACCCCCCCTAGATTCTTTCGCCTCCTTTCCACGTCCTTACGCTTTCCAGTTCATTACTTCCCAGCTTTCCTTATTTTTAGCTTTATCTCTCTTCACTTCCCTTCCGTCCATCTCACATACTTTGGCACGCTGCAGCTTTTTGCCTCACTTCTTCGGCACTGTCAGTCAGTCTCCACGGAGAAATCGCCGTCACGCAGTGGTCGAAAAGTGTCCTACAGCCTTACAGAAGCACTGCGGTTCATATCCACTGCAGGTGAGCGTGATCTTTCAGTTGCCCTGGAGATTGGATCAGGTGGATTCGAACTTTCGAAATTCGAAAGCCAAGTCACCAAGCGTCTCTCCCACCTCCTGTGATGAGACTGGCCAGTAGCGCTCTCACTACCAAATCAGGACATGTTCTTGCGTGGTCAGAGTAAGCCAGTTACCCTGACTCCCGGTCGATGCGCAGTAGATGCGGTTTTCAAAAGTAATTAAAAGTGGCAGCTACGGGGGGGGGAGGCGGTCGAAAGGGATGCGTTGGATGAGGAGATGCGATGCAGTCTAATACGTGGGCCACCCAGAGTCGTTTAATCCCAGGGCACTATTCGGAAAAAAAGACTGTGCAATACCTCTCAGCGGAGAATGAGACAACCACGGTAACTTCATGCGACCTGAAAGCGACCTAATTACGCTCCCCCCCACCCCCGGAGGGCAGCTGAGAAGGCTGACAGGGCAGTCAAATGAATAGTCTTGTTCAGGAGTCTGACAGTTGCGGAAATGGGCCGAGCGATACTGCCCTGCTTGTATGCGCAATTAACCAGACATACCAGGCTGAAGGGGTCGGGTAGGAGGGAATTAAATAAGCACTGCCCCCGCCCCCGTCACGCATGGCTTGAACTCTCAGTGCCCAAACTCATGATCATTAGGCGGAAATTAATGAGCCGGCTAGTGATGGCATCACCTGTTGCCTAGTGAAGTGTGTGTGGGGTTCTGAAGACTAATATCTTTAAAAAAGGAGGATGATATTTCATTTGCAAAGCCTGGTTGCTTGGAGGGTGAAATTGGGTGTCTTAAACAGTAAGTCCAATTTTAGAAGTCTTATAATTTTCTAACAGGTCAGCATTACTCAAGAGCGTTTAATATTGGGATTAAGCCGGCTCCTACTGTACTACAGGCATGAAAGTACGGTAAAGAGATGGGCTGCGAAACTGTGACGCACTGTTAACCCCGGTGTTCGTGAAAATATGATACCGAGAAGGGTGAAATATGTGTGTGTGGTGAGAAAAATATATGGAAAACTTCGTTAGCAGGATGACATTCGTTGACCCGTTTCGCCCAGCGGTGTCGGCGCTAATGAAATGTCTACATTGATTCATAGCAGTACCACACCACGTATTAGCGCCTACTACACGTAATGCCTTAGTTAAAGGAAACCCATTTTCAAAAGAACGTTTGGCACGGGATGCGGTGAGGTATAAAAAATACTCGACATATTGTTAGATAGAATGCATAGGTTTGCCAGTAAAGCAGTAGTGGTAAAACGCTGATGAAAGTGCTAGACAACAGTTAGTATTTTCTTACCCCACGCATGTGTTTAATCCTTGCACTGACACCTTTACCGAAGGCCTGGGCCAGTCGGTTCTGATTGATTTCGACTAGTAAAATGGACCACATGAGTCCATCTCATAGTATGGCCGGGGTAGAGGTAGTTTGAATTATTCAAACTTAAATTATATTCAAGAAGGACTCGTCTGAATAGAAGCAGCATGAGGCGTTAAAAGTAATGTTTGTTGCGTTTGTAGTTGCCAATTCGAACACAACACTATTGAAGTTATGGTTGGGGATTAAGGTTAGAGGTTAGGGCAACTAATACCCAACCACTCAAAGTACAACCGCGCATTACACATTTTTTTTCTTTTACTTACAACTACTTGACCTCGTCGCCTGTTCGTTTCCCGGCCCCACCTGTAAAAATCCCTATTACCACCGGTTCCTTTTTACAGGTGGCTGGTGTTTGTTTACGTCAGGTGTGGCTCGTAACCACATCTGACCCATTTATGAGCTAGTGCGGGGAGTTTCAGGAATTCGTATGGAAATCTAGCATTTACATGCTTGATGTGCAATTTACTAACACCTAGCACATTTCAATAACCAAATGTTCTGGTTTTTGTGGTTCCTGAAAGGATAAATATTCTGTCACCAGTTCGGTTCAACGCCACTTTGCTTCTGTCGTACTCATTTTGTCCAGTCTTATAGTTGGAAGTGTATTCTTCTTCTTAATAACTGTAAATACCTCTAGGTTTTCCCGCTCTCCATTCACCTCCTGTGACTCCACACTCATGATATGAGATTACCCAATGACTGCCAATGAATTAAGCATGTGATGTTATGATTGTTAGGCACAATGCTGGAAATACGACGGATCTGCAGCTGCTTAAGTAGGGTTCGCATCAGGCCACAGTACATATTTAGGAACATGGTCTCTATGCCTTGCTTAATTTCCGAGGAAATTAATGCGCGAACTTGGAGTAACTCTTTCGAAGCAGGCCTTTTCAGGCACGGTCCGAAATTTGATATGAATATTTGAGCTGGTCTCTATTCTATTAACCCCTATGGATTAGCGTGATATTCTGACTGCACAAAATTTCCGAAGTATCCACTTTGGAAGAAATTATCTGAACGTGTAATCTAGTCCTACTTGACAAATATGAATGTAAGAGTGCTGGGTTTTATTTGGGTTAAGTAGGCTCTTGACAGTACTCCGTTTTGGTCGCGCTCTTGATGCATTTCCTTGTAATGAAATAATATGCGCGATTTCTGTGGATCTAGCACTGACACTGCGGAAATCTCAAAATGCCACTTCTTTATTAAATCGTCTTCCAATTTAAAGTAAAATCCGAGGACTTTGGATTAATAATACAGTTGGGGGCTTCAAAACTGCTCTTTTTGGATCATCAGAAATGATTGTGTTTTGCCAGATTTGATCGATTTTTTTAACTAACTTGGGGCCAAGGGATTTTATCAATCGGGATATCCGTCGGATTGTAGGCGTGACATTTAGATAATGCGACCACCGGTGAAAGGAATACAGTTCGCCCCATTGGAGAGACTTCCCTACGAACGTGGAACCACTAACGCCAACTTCAAAACTCACAGTGGTTCAGTTTGTATCAGGCGTTTAGTCGTATCTTTGCGTATTATTTTTTCCTCATACGTGCTTTAGAACCCTATCGAAGGCTTAGATTCCTGCATTTTTGAGTTCTTGGCAGGACGTTTATAGGTGGATTTATCTTTTAACAATGGCCATATTGCCCCGGGGCATAGTGACATGGGTTTTAATCAGTCTGTCGGATCGCAGATGATTTACGCTCGTCATATGACAGTATTGAACACGATGTCAGACGCATTCTAAGTGTAATTTGTTGGTTTTGTCGTTTGGTTAAACATATTTCGTCTCACGCATCAATGGACAACATCTCCATTATGCGAAACCTATCAGTGTTTTTGCCCTAATAAGTGGGTTGTCGATGGCACCCCACCTGAAATTACAGGGTGGTCGTCCACACCGGTACATACGACAGACAGTAATCGACTTTTAGGTGGAATTTAAATCGTCGATAGTTCGACCGTCGTACCCGACGATGTTTGCCGTGTACTTCCCAGCTAGATGAAGTAGGCACGAATATTTGGGATTAAATGGGTTTATAGCGAGAGTAGACTTTTGAAGTATCTATGGCACTCTCTCCTCCTCCCCACCTGAGCCCGGTGTCAAGATGTTGTCAAGAAGATCGGAGCTGAGGGAGGCGAAGGTGGCTGGCTCGGCCGGACCCGCATCAAGGCGTACCACCACACCCCCTGGTCCCCAACAAACATTTGACCAGGATTCTGACCGCCAACAACAGCACCACAATGGGTTAGAAAGACGAGGATGACAAGGCAGCCATGCTCACGACCTTTATACCCAGCGAAAGCGCAGGGGCACCTACCGGCAGGGAACCAGGTGCCAGAGAACTGCCACATCGCACTAGGTTGCTAGGGACATGGTTTGCTGATCCGGGCATAGCAGACGCTTACAGACTTTTAACTGCACATCAGCTACACGTCTGACAACTGTCTGGGCAAATGATGCGAAAAATTTGCTGAAAGAAGTCTTTTGCCCTCCCAAAGCTTGCTTCAACTCAGATTTTGCAGGATACCTAACTTTTAGTAAACTTTGGTAGTTTTTCAACAACGGCGTCTAAAAGATTCTTTCTTAGGTAATTTTCATGTAGTGAATTAATTAATCTAATTGGTTATCCTGAGAGGACTTCAGAGACTGCACAACTAATGTGTATTCATAGTGCAACTGGAACCTGTTCAGAATACCAAAAGCCCAGGAAATGCCTTGATTCCGCATAATGAACCAAAAATATGTCAGAATCGCGAAGCCATTCCTTCAATGCAATTCGACATTTCGCAAGTCTTATGTATCTTAAATTTTTTTTACTTTTCCACAAGAAGAGATGAAACTGCGCATTTGCCCTTAATTTTTATTCACCTCCAATCTGACTGTGTAACCCTTATTTTCTTTTCAACCTCCAAACAATAAAGCTGAGGTCAGATGCTATGTCAACATAGCCGACTGCGCCATGGCGTTTGGCCAAAAATCCGAAAATAACACCCAGTGCCTTGCCGCGTAGAAAGAAAACGGTGGAAGTCTGAAGACGTCAGAGCCACGAGAACTCACATGCCGCAAAGCAAACACAGATGGTAGATATTTGAGTCTATCCCTTTACAGTTCTTTTAAAACAAAGTTTCCGGGAGGGAAGCCACATGAAAATATAGCCAGCCCAAATCCAGATCAGATTTGCAGGGGGATAACATTTTAACATTTCTCAATAGTTCCTCTTAAAAAGAAATAATGTTAGCTCTTTTCAAGGTTTTCGTCATTTGCGTTTGTAGTTGTCAAAAACAGACTAGATTTTTCAACTCTCCGATTTCCCAAATCTTCTACTAAGACGTAAATAGACAGGCGTTTTTAAAGAGGTATTGGAACTGCAGTTCCTCAGGGTTTATTTGCTGTGATGTCTGCTAAGTGTTTTTTATCGAATTTTTGAAAATGCGTGCGGCCGATTTACTATATTAGTCTCTGTTCGTTAGCGGCAATTAGTTGTGCGCTATCCGGTCAAAAGGAATTCACCAGGTGCTGCCGTAGGTCAGAAGAACTATATTCTCTAGATTCCTGGCATTTGGATCCTTTTTATAATGGTTTGTAAAAATCCCAGACTAAGCAAATTATTCTTTGCATTTAAATTCGCTGATGGGTGAAGCATTGTGCAGCAGAAATAAAATAGCTGTCTGATTTTCAAAGACCTATCGCCGGAGCTGTAAATTCAGACTGCGTGTATTTCGACCAATCAATGAAACGAATCCCTCAAAATGCGCTGACCAATCCACTGCTATCGATCACAAGGCCAAGAAATAGCAGGACTCGCACATGCTACTCACCATTACTCAGCGTCCTGATCTCGACGTGTGTGGCGACTCCCGAACCGTGTTTCGTTCGTGCCGCAAGCGAAATTTGGTAGAGGGTATCCGGCTGAAGGCCCTCGACCACGTAGCCGGTGTGCTTGGCGGGAATGGAGATAGAGAGCGGTGGAGTTACGGCGGCGTTCTGGAAGGGTGCCGGTCGGGTGCCCCCAGCCGACCGACAGCGCAGATGGTAGTCGAGGATGTTCATGCCGTGTGACAGTTCCGGGGGTGACCAGACCAGTTGAATTGCCGTCGGCGAGATACTGACGCCACGAAAGTTTATTGGCTGCGGTGGGACTTTGTAGAGAGAAAGAGAAAGAATTCATTTCAACAGGCATTTTGGTTTTCCCAAACGACTTTAACCCCATGGAACTGACTTTCTCATGAATGGAAGAGCATATGTACATCCCAGGTTCTTGTTAAAAGGAAGACGAAGGCACCATCACTGGGACGGTAGATTTATTGACGCTAGCTTTCAAACTCGAACTGAAGCTCATCATCAGAGACCGCTAGAGTGCAGCAATGTGTGAAAATTTATATCGTCGCGTCGTAAGGGAGAGATTACGTCCAAAATGGTCCTGGTCCAAAATGGTCCCCTCCTATGGTGACACCATTTGTACTTCGCGGCGATGTGAGCTGCGCCACCTGGCTGTGTGTACCATGCGACACAAACCAGATCTAGCCACAGACGTAATCTCCCCCCTTCAAGACACAATGATATACATGTTTACACGTTGCTGCACTATAGCAGTCTCTGATGATGAAGTTCAGTTCGAGTTCGGAAGCTAAGGCCAATAAATTTACTGCCCCAGTGATCGTGACTTTCTCGTAATCGTTTTTTTCAATTTTTACGAACTACTAGGCTAAAAAGAATATGATGCTTGTTGCTATGGGACCAGGCGTCAATTCAAAAATGTCTGAAATGTTGTTCACGCTGCATATCTGAGATTTTTAGTACTTATGTGCCATGCCTACTGATAATACCGTCGTAATTGAAGTTTGCCAGACGTACATTTCTATGGGCGTACCCTTGACTTAAGGCGTATATGATGCAATTTCCAAGAGCTGCTTAAATTCCGCTGTTTCAAGCGCACATTGATCAGAAGTGTTTACCTTTCAGGTGGCCTAGGAAAGTAGACTTAATTTGTTCATAAAAACACCTCGAGTGGGTTTGCTTCTTTTCGTTGAGTTCTTTAGAACCCTTAAAGTGGCTTCCAAAGGCAGTCAGACATAGGAGTTTGAAACTTACTGTGTTTATTGCGAACGAGATTTGTCTAGGATGTATGAAATCATAAATTTACCGCATTCACCTGGACGTACTACGGTTATATATCGACTATTCCTGCGTCTTAATGGTTATGCTCACTTAAGAAAAAAAATTTCTAACCAAAACTCATACAATAAGAAAATATCCAGAATGAAAACCAACGGTAGTGAGTGAAATGTTTCATTGTTAGTAAACGTGGTGTTAGTATTTGCGTGAGAATCAATGGCGAGAAAAGTAGACAGGGTGTTTAGAAGTTCCGCTTCCTGTCATTCGAGAGACTAATTGCGTTGACCGTATCATGGGACCGTCTTTGTAAGACTGTTTCAAAAGATTAGGGGCGAATTTTTAAAGAGATAGCAGTATTACACGTTTGCTCTGCAGAGATGTCGTGAACTGAATATGAAGGGTTGTTTGCTGCCCAAAAAGCATTTTGCTAATTAACAGAATTTCGATTGAACGTTTCCGGGGAATCGCGCTCTGGGCTGGCCTCCTGCGGGCTGTCGGAAGTTAACAGTCAGAAATTCAAATTTTAAATTGGCGAATGTCCGAAAAGGTTCTTCGAGACACGATATGTCAAATATACTTATCACAATTTAGGCGAGAGCGGTTCTTAAAGTGTCCAAAACAAGCTGATATGTGCGCGCCATTAACGTGGACTCGTTTTCGTCTGACAAACTTCCTCAAAGTGATCCGTTTACATGAACACGGACTATCATCATAAAAAGGTGTTGAACACAAGAACGGAGAGGAACAAAACCGCTTGCATCCTTTAAAACAGTAGCGAACGACTGCATCGAATGGAACGGAATGGCTATTTACTAACTGCAGATTTTTCACAGAGGTCAGGATCGCCTACGTGATCTAATGCTTGCATAAGGGGTATCAGGGCAAACCACCGAGCAATAATCATTCGACTTTATCTCTGCTCACCCTACGAATTACATGTTCGTTATCTGCCATAAATTTACCACGCCGCCATTTCGCATTCACGGATATTTGTCGATTTTTTGTTTGAATTTCCTGCAGCATAAACTTGTCAAATCAAATAATTACTTTAGACTTAAATCGACTAAGTTAAAGCCGTTTTGACGTTTTATTGGAGTTTTCCAAACCCAACGGTTGCACAAACTTAAAATAACTTGGAATGTTCCAGCTCGGTGGCTCGGTGGGATCTGATGATAGTTTGCGAGGTCGCATTTTTGGTCAGATGTGTTTACTTAGCTCCCCCCCCCCCAGAAGCAAACAAACCCCAACCACCTCTAATACGGGACCGGTGGTAATAGGAGTTTTTACAGGTGGGGTCGGTGAGCGCTCGGGCGACGAGGTCAAGCTGTTGTATACCAAAGTAATACCACTGGGAGTGTGCAGTTTTACTATGGGTGGTTGAGTAATAGTTGTCCTAACCCCTAACCCTAACCGTAGCCTCTAACTCTGACCCCTTACCCTAGCCCCTGGCCATCATCCCTAACGCTAGCTCCTAACCTTAACCCGTAACTCCAGCCCGTAACCATAACTCCTACCCCTAGCACCTAACTCGAAACCCAAACAACAACCCCAAAAGCATTGTGACCATCAGGTGGGGCTATATAGCCACATCTTACCAAAATTTTGCCCAAAGAAAGCTATTGTGCGCACGGTTACCTCGCTATTTAGTAGAACCTAGCACTAACCCCCTTCCCATTGAGCTCGCGACCGCGCAAACTTACGATCCTACCTATGGACTGGAATGCAAGCATTGCGACAGTATTTCGGTCAATCAATTTTCTTCTGTCTCCCCCATCTCCTCAGGACGGCTGTCAAATACCAGAACGACCTACCCAAACCCACAAAAAAGCGAAACGGTTACATTCTTTTGTTTCATTGCTAAGATTGCCTTTTAATGTCTTATTTGTTTCTCAGCCAAGGTCTTTTACGCTTTTCTGGTTCCAAGTGTAAGCGCAATGTGAGCAGTGAAAGGAAAGTAATCCGAATGGGGAAGCTGAAAGCGTTAGCGGGAAAGAAGCCGAGGCTAAAATCGAAAAAGCAACCTGATGTATGACACAAATGCCAAGAGATTGAGAGAACCCTAGAATCCCCACAAAAGACCTGGCAGACAGGACACGCGGGGCAGTAATACCTCAAACCTAACGGGAAACCTAATCGTAACCCTAAAATAAACCTAATCATTAGCGTATTTAGCGACCTAATGCTTACACTAAACCTAATCCTAGCCCTATCCATAAGTCTAACCTTAACGTTGATACAAAGCCCAACCCTAACCTTAACCGCAACAAAAACCCTAATCCTAATCCTAGCCTTAACCGTAGCCCCACTCCAAACCTAACACAAACCTTAACCCCAGCCTTAACGCTAGATGTAAGCCTTAGCCGCAATCCTAAGCCTAACTCCAACTGGAATCCCTAAACTTAACATAAACCCTTAACTCAATTCTCAGCCTAACACTAGTCCAAACCCATAAACTAACCCTACCTGTTGACCAAAACATAAACTTGCCCCTTTCCGTTTTGGCTTTGGCTACTTTCCCATTAGCGATTTCTGTATCCTCCTTCCATTTACTTTACTTGCAATGCCCACGTTGCGCTTACACTTGGTACCAGGGCAGCATATCCGACGCCTACCTTTTTTCTCCGAATCCCATCATCTTTCTCAACGCCAAAATCAGAGTCGTATTTTTGTCAGTTATCAGGGTGCCAAAGCATATTTAATCAAAAGGCTTCTACAACATCATGGTTCGAGCTTATGCGCCGTAAAACAACATTTTCTGGGCAGTTTAATGAACGCCCGAGTGGACTTCCACCGACCTTCACTACCTTTTTGCCACCAGGGCCTTCCCGGGGCCCCTGCTGAATGATTCAAACAAACTGATTTTACCTCTAGGACGCACCCGTAGCCGAAATTGTCGAAAAATACTGAAAAGTTACGCACTCTGTAAGTGCGTTGCTTTTAAGCAAAGGGGCTATGCCTCAGAGCTTGCGTGACGGACCTAGACGAAATAGCACGTGCCTGCATCCTCGCATTGAGACGGTCTGCGCCAAAAAGTTGTTTAAACGCCTGCAATAGGCAGCCTGCGGATTCTTTCCGCCAGACAGTAGAATAATATGTTATGGACGCCTTTGTTAGGCTCCGCGAGACGTAATTACACACATGTTAGGCCTGTGAACTCAGCAACTTGCGACTCCTTTCAAAATTGCAATAAATTATTAGCTTAAATTTGAGAGCACGCTATCCTCGCCCACATCATATCTACCTAAGGGAAGGACTCTGCTCCGTCCAATGATTACTGTTCGTTCGTGATTTATGGCGAGTTCAAAACCCGTAACATGTTATTTAATACTGGTGATGACAGGGGACATTCAGGGGTGCACTGCGCGGCCACGCATAGAGTTAGTGGTCTGCGGAATTCTGGGTATAATTTCGACGTGATGCCATAGAGTGTGTCCGATGACGTTACCTTGCACTAATTTGTTGGATGACAAGGCCTCAACCTACACTACGGTTCTACTTAATTCTCGAGACAGGTAGTTCAGAGGTGGAAGCCTGTATAACCCAGAGCCGTGGGAAAATGTTATTCTAAAGGTTGCTTGAGGTCATATCATATTGCCGAGTAATCGTCACGCCAACACCCAAGACGGAGGATGAAATTGCGGCAATTAACGACTAAGGTGCGGACGGACGAGCCGTTATCGCCTTAATTACGACCGAAACGTCAGGCCAATAAACTTCTTGTTCCAATGATCGCATCGTCTTCTCCTTCTGAACTGCTTCCTCGAACTCGCGTGTTCGCTTCTACCAGCAATCCGTTGATGTAGTACGTGCTAATACTGTGCTAGGTCTTCAGCCGTTTTATACTTTGATTGGAATGCATCAATAGCAGGTTCTTTAGACTAAAAACAATTGTTTTAATGAGGTATTAGTAATGGTTAGCAGGCAGTGCGATATCAAGTTAGTAAATACACGATACGACGCGGGGTTCAGTTTAAAAATGCCCATGACAAAATCACCAATTTTCACAGTACGCAAACGTTAAAGTGCCCATTTATACCATGTGTCAGAGGAAGAATATACGGCATTTTCTTGGGGGAAATGGAGTAAACTGACTTTCAAAAAAGGCGTCGATTCGAACGTAGTGCTACGCACAATTCCTCATCCTACTTACACTTATGGATTCCGGGCGACGCCTTGTTTACTTGACTGAAAGCATAAAGTACACTTCTTTACTACACCCTAAAGGGGCTTCTTGTTGACTTTGAATTGTTGTTGTACATATGCAGATAAGAAGATATCCACAAAAACAAAGCCGACGAGGATGACTAATTATGATTTATTAGCCGTCGTCGGTCAGCATACCCAACACCAGGTTTGCGAAAGCTGGAGTGCCAACGCGGGTTATTTGATTATTGGAGGTTAAATATCCCCACGATACGACGGAACGAGCACGCTTCCTAACCTGATCAGTTAGAGTTCCCCCCGGTCATACATAAACATGCAGAATGAGAAACAAAGAAGACCGGAACAGCTATTTATGGCTTATAAGCCGTCATCAGTATCGGATAACGTCTCCCTAAACATAGTTCGCTACACCTGATTGCAACTGACAGGACGGCGAACCCGTGGCTCAGTGGTTAGAGCGTTAGTTTCCTGACCGACCTGCCCGCTATTCTCCCTGGGGGGGGGGTGCCCGCTCGAAGGCTTGCGTGACCTTTGGCCCCTTTGTGGCCGACGTAGTTGCAACCAAGTCACAGTGCCCTGTGGCGGACTGGTCGGTCGTAGATGTTCATGTGAATTGCTGTCAGCTTTCGTCGCATCGAAGAGACGGCGCTCGAAGTTGATCACATGACCTGCACTCGCCCCCTTCCCTCTTTACCGTGCGCGTCGGTTCTCGGCCCTGTCCGACCGGTCCGAGCCTTGAGAGCAGTGCTTCGTAGGCCAGACTCGGGTAAATCTATATAAGCTTTCAACTCTGCTTACAACTTTCACCGAGAAGTATACGATGAGACCGACCAACGACTCAAACGAGCACACATCATCGAGCTCCTAGAACTGTATCTCAAGATCTTCTTTACATTTAACGACCAAGTCTACAAGCAAACGAAAGGGACACCGGTTGGCTCGCCTCTGTCTGTACTAATTTCCGAAATGGTTTTGCTGGGGCTGGAGCGGCTAGTTTTCAGCCCTCCGAAGTTTTGGGGGCAGATACGTCAACGACACGTTTATCGTTATCAAAAAAAGTGTTCATGTACAGGCTTTCAAGACATTGGTGAATTTGATTTTCGCATGTATCCACTCATATCTATATATATATGTATACTGTAGGTGGGTAAACTCCTGAAATGTCAACCAGAATTCCGAAATGTGTTTTCGTTTCGTAAAAATTAATTACGTAGGTTTGTAAAACTAATCATCATGCAGCACAATTGTATAATAACTCAGTTACCTCAGGACGCCAAGATTCGAACAAACATTTTTCCCGCTTCGTGCAAAAACTATACTCTGCAAAAAACGGCTTCCATGCATTTTCTCATTGATTTTCGATGCCCCTAAAACTTTAACTATATTTAATGGAAAACATGCATGAAAATATTTATCCTCTTGCTCAATCGGTAGAAAATTTCGCCTTCTTCCAATTTCAAATTCGAAGAGAGGGTATAATTAGGTTTTCAGAAGCTTTTCCGACCTGCCGGCGAAACACGTGTCTGGGCTTCTAACTAGTAATACTCATATTATTAACTGTTTTTAGAATAGATATTGTGGGGTTATTCCGCAGTAGTTGCTTGTCTTTGACTCAAATTTCATTGAATTTTCGGTTCTGACCTTTTAAAATTATGCCCCGTAGACTAAAATTCATGTCCTGCATTGACTAATTTCTGAAATCAATCACTTAATTTATATATACATATACATGTTTATGGTGGCTTGCCTTGGACCGCAGCCCATACTACGCGTCATCAACTGCGCCCAACCTAACCACCCGTTGATTGACAGGCTCGCACAGTCGACTGGTGCGTTGGAGAGAAAGAACGAGTGAAGGCGACACTTGGGGAATACACCCCCGCGGCGCATCAGTGCACTTATCACGATAATAGATCTGACGTGCCTGAATCTATGACGGTGTGTTAGAAAGCCGTGGTTCGGTAGGCTGGACAATTATTCGGTCCTCTCGGAACTGCAAATCAAGACAATATAGGTTCTTTGTAATACGGCTTTTATGTTATTCTCACCCAAACGAACCCCGAAGCGCCTTCGTTGTGGTCTGCTAACGTTTTGTTTACCAGATCTTGTGCAGCTCTCGCAAATAGGTCCTTTGTAAGATGTAAACTTGTTAAGCAGCAAAGAACGTCATGACAGAGTACAAAAATGCTCCTAATCACAAATTTTCTTAAACAGTGAAGGACTGTTTTGTCTAGGCAACACAGTTTGGCTGGCATACAACCATCAGATATCGAGCCGAGTAAATGAACGTTTTGTGCCGCCTGTGACTTCATATGGCCCATTTAACGAAGGACAGAAAATCAATAACAAAATGCCCAAGACTTCATTGATGGTTTTTGCACGGCACTTGATTCACGCAGATAGGTGAAAACTCGCTCAACCGGAATTCAATCTGGTAGAAGTATGTTACATTGTAATCGATGCTGTTCACTACCTTTCTTAGCGTGTTCCGCTCGAAAGCGTGGTTGTGCATTTCACCAATGCTTCCTGACTTTTTGCGTGTTCTGTAAATTACGGTTAACTTTCT